ATATATATATGATTTGTATTATTTGAATAGTGATTTGGTTCTGATTTGGAGACACTTGAGTGTTACTTTGGAACGAGTTCTTCAACCTCATTGAATCTTGGGTGTTGATAGGTTAAAAAACCAAATCCACCAAAATTGATGAATTATGTTGATGATATTTGAAACCCTAATTTCATCTGAGGTATTGGTTACACTATCATTCCTCCCCGTCTTCATCTTATCCCTTTCTTATTTTTACTTGTGCTACATGTTTTTGGAGAATGATCTACATATAATTTCTCTAACATGTATGGTATATAAATTGCTATTGACCGACCTCAAAATAGGTGTGACTTTTACATAAGTCCACTTACGATTGTTTAATATAACACTAAATTTGTCCCGATTCAAAAAATAATCATTCGTGGCCCAAACTTTATATTTGAAAACCCAAGTATAATTGATTATTGGATTTTGGTTCAAACCTTTGAAGCTTGTTGTTAGGAGGCTTTGGTCTTACCAATCCTCTAACAAGCCTTCATCAACTTTGACCTAAGTTCGATCTTCAATTATCGTTGATCATATGTGTTGGTTTTGAGTACTTGAAATGAATGATATATTTGACAAAAACAAATGAAACTTGTTGTTGAGAGACTTTGAAATTAGAGAGATGAAGAGGGAAAAGAGAGAGAACAGAGAAGACAGAAGAAAGAGTGAGAGAAGTGAGAAAAAACAGGAGAGAGAAAGAGAATATCATTGATTTTTTGTGGAACCGAAGTTGGTTGGAAGTGGAAGGGATGGATCTATCTCTTTGATTTCTCGAGAAAAAATTTATTACATAAGGAAAGAATATGACTGTCATGCTTCGTATTCTACAAAAGTCCAATCATAATTTTTTTCTATAAGTGTGACACACAACAAAATATATATTTTCACATTAATGAGAGAAATTAAAAATGGATTAATAATGGAATTAAGAAAAGAACAGATTAATTATAATATTATAATAAATAATACATTAGGATTTTTTAAAATAGAAACCAATAAAAAATGTAAAATGTCTAGATCTGTGACACTTATCAAAATTGTTACTAAAATCTATATTATTTTATTCTATTGTATGATTTTGATAATTAAATATGACATTAATAATTTATTTTATTCCACTTGTAAATTTATTTATAAGGTAATTAGAAAAATTGTATTTTATTGTACCCAAAAAAAGAAAAAGAAAATTGTATTTTACTAGTTTGTTTATTTTTCTTCAGCTTTGACTAGTTACACTTTTTACGTACTCCAATTCTCTCTATTAATTAAAACCTCTCTGTTTTTCATTTTCATTTTTCTTTATTTTCTTCTTTTCTTTCCTTTGCCGGCGTTTCAATTCCTCACCGGGATTTCCCCTTTTCTTACCAAACCACAACACCCTCGGGAAAAAAACCCGGTTCAACCGGTTTAAGAGTCGGTTTTTGAACGGTCCAAGTCAATTTCGTGAGTTGAAAACTACAAGAAGAAGAAGAACTGGGTTTGACTTGGAATCATCAATGGGGTTTTGATTTTTCGTGAAAAGGAGTGAATCGTTGAGGTGATTCGTTTGTGTTGTAGAGCGAGAAGAAAGAGAGTGTGTGAGGTTTTGGTTTTGATGTGAAGGTGAATGGTTTTGGAGAGAAGAAGTGGTTGGAGTTGTTTATGATGACCGGAGCTCCGGTTAGGGATCGGAGAGGGTGGTGGTGGATAGGTGAATCTGTTACGTTGAATGGCAGATCTTGTTAACTACGGGAATGGTGATCGTAATATTGAGCAAGTGAGTTCTTTTTCTCTCTCTAGAATGGTTATTGGTTTGGAGAAATTACACGAAATGTTGTTTTTTGGAATTTTGATATATTGTGTTGTGATACAACCTCACATTTAGGTGTGTATGGTACCAGCTTTGTATTCAATTTTGATTTTTTTTTTGTTTGTTTTAGTTTTTGCAGTGATGTGAAAATGCTTCATGTTTTTTATTGGCTAATAATGTTACGTTTGTGTATTTGTTTTTTGTTTGGATTAATATGTGGGAACTTTGAGGCTATATTTGGATATTGTAAGACAACGGAGTGGAATAGAGCGGTGCCGAGTAGAAAATTGAATAAACATGTCGTTCTATTGTGTTTTGTTTGAGTATTTTATAATGGAATAAAACAATTTTGTCATTCCACCCCAAATGAGAGGATAGGAAAATGATGGAAAGTGATGGAATCAGTGTTATCAAATTGCGGCGCCATGGCGGATATACATAGCGGTTTTTGAGCTCGCCGCAATGGTAAATATCAACCTATATTGCGGGGTTTTCCGCCATAATCCGCTATAGCGGCGCCGCATAGAGGCCGGTATGGCGGGATTTTGGCTCTTCAACATGGACCCCCACCTGCCATTGACAACACTTGATGGAATGAATTCTATAAGGTTCCACTCCATTTCATCTTTTTTTTAATTAATCCAAACAATGAAGCATAAGTTTGTAGCATTCCATTCCATTCCATCATAGCAATAGAATTTGAAAAAATGCTATTGTTCCGAGATACGCTATTCGGTACAAATTGTTGTCAAATAACAGCTTTTGTGGCAATATAGCACTATTCTGTATTGGAATTTGAACAATCCGGTGTTTTCTGCGATCTTCTGTTGACAACATTGTAGGAGTGTATGAGGGAGCACCAATGGAGGCACTGCTGTTTTTATTTTATTTATTAAAGTTTCATCCTGTTCTGATTATGTGCATGTTTGGATGCACGGGAATGTGACGATTAAACACGGTGGCTCCGTGATTCAGTTGAAACTCCAAAGTGTAGCTTTTTCTAAAATCATCACAGAATGCTGTGGTTCAGTCAAACTCACGATTAACTAAAGTAATGAGTTAGCTGACAAATCACAGCTCAAGGGTCAAAGTTATTAAAAAAGTGAAGAATGTCAGGACTGAGTTCCCCTTCCCCTCTTTGGAGCTGGTTTCAGTTTTGTAGAGCTAGGTTTCAGCTCTTCTAAGTTGAGTTCGTTCACCTTGTTGGCTTGTGGTTTAATTGCATACTTGCAAACGATGGGTTTATTCATGATTTGTGATTTTCGCTTCATTTTGATGCATATGCAATGTGACTTTGTTTATTTATTATGTTGTATATTTAGAAGTATGAAGCACAATGCTGTCAAATATTAGCTTTCGCCTAGAAGAATATTAACAAACCGCTATTGTTCTGCAATATGCAATTAAGTATAATGTGTTCATATAGCAGCTATAGCGAAGAACATTAATTAACCACTATTTTTCTGTAATAATTGGTTTAGTATGATGTGTTCATATAGAAGCTATAGCAGTGCTATAGCAGCACTGTAGCGTAACTTAATTTGAGCAAGTCTCTATTTCCCGCGATTTGGTTTGGCAGCAATGATGAAATATCTGTAGTCAGCATAACATTTCCAACCTGTAGATTTTATGAAAATATAAAAGAAGGAACTAGGACTTTTGAGTCAATGCTTATATAAGAAGGGCTTCTTAAACTCTTTCGTTTCTTCATTCCTTCCTATCTAATGTGTATCTTATATTAATTCTGTTTTATTTGTTTTATTTTATTTTTTGGCTTACGATGTTACTTTTTCATCTTGCAGGCGTTGATTGCTTTGAAAAAGGGAGCTCAACTACTTAAATATGGTCGTAAGGGAAAACCAAAATTTTGTCCATTTAGACTCTCACATGTAAGTTAAAAGAAAGCTTTTCTATAAATTTTAGTAATCTCTATTTTATTTCCTTTCTACCTGGTTGAACAGTAATAAACTGACTGTGTTCCATTAATGCTCTAGGAAAGATATGTTCTTTTGATGTTCACTGATGTTATAATTATCTGAGAAATCTAGTGCGCAAGTTCTTTTATTTTGTGTTTTTAATATTATATTCCCTGTATACATTATGGTGCTTCCTTGACTTAGAGTTTATTCCTATTTATTTCTGTGTACAAAATATCTAAAATGGCAGGATGGATCATCTTTAACCTGGATTTCAAGCGGCGGCCAAAAACAACTAAAGCTATCATCTGTCTCAAGAATCATTCCTGGACAAAGAACTGTAAGATTTTTGTACTTATACTTGATAGTGAAATTTGTTCCTTGGTTCAACGGTAAGGTTGTTCCATTGCGACCCTGGAGTCATGGGTTCGAACCCTGCTGGAAACAGCCTCTCTGTTATAAAAACAGGGGTAAGGCTGCGTACATCCAATCCTCCCAGAGCCCATAAAATGGGAGCCTCGTGCACTGGGTTACCCCTTATAGTTGATTAGTGAAGTGATATCGAAAAATTGTTCCATAAGCTTATATGCCTCATTTCTCTATTTTAATTTCCATGATCTTTGTGCAGGCTGTTTTCCAACGGTACCTGCGTCCCGAGAAGGACTACGTGTCTTTTTCACTTATTTATAAGAACGGAAAGCGGTCTCTTGATTTGGTTAGTGACAGTTTATTTATGGGACTCCATCGAGAACTGCAGAATTACTTTTGTTTTGGTTTTCTGTATTTTCCGTTAGAATAATTTCTCTGTTTTTTTTTTTCCTTCAGATTTGCAAAGATAAAGTTGAGGCAGACGTGTGGATTTCTGGTCTCAAAAAACTGATATTCTCAGGTCAAGGTGGTCGGTCCAAAATTGATGGATGGAGTGACGGGGGCCTCAATCTTGATGTAAATACACACCAACTTGTAGTTAAAATTCATTTTTGTAGTGTACTTGTGTAATGTTTTCTACTATATTTCTTAGCCCAAAACATTAAAGATCTAGTTGTTCTCGTCTGAAAACACAAGTCTAGGTTACTCCCCCTGGTCAGGGTTGGTGGTGCCCTAATTCGAAGCATAGCCTAGGGTTATGATGTGATTTTTCTCTTCTTTTTTTCTTAATGAAAAAATGAACTGATTGTATGCAATTTTTCTGAATTGTTGTATTTCTATCGATACCATTTTGCTTATACTTCTTTCTTTCTCAATTAATTTCAGGATAACAAAGACTTAACATCCAATAGTCCAAGTGACAGTTCAGCTAGTGCGTCACTAGACATCAGTTCTCCTGACATTTCCGTGAGTCTTCCTAATACTTCACCGAACTCCTTTTGGCCTGACAATACCTTAAATACTGAAAGGTCACATGCACCATCTGACTCAACAAATATGATACTAAAAGGACCTAGCAATGATACTTTTCGGGTTAGTGTTTCAAGTGCCCCCAGCACATCTAGTCATGGATCTGCACATGATGACTATGATGCTCTGGCGGATGTATACGTATGGGGGGAAATCATCTGCGAAAACGTGAAAGTCGATGTCGATAAAAGCGTCCATTATTTCAGCCCAAGGGCAGATGTGCTTCTCCCGAGACCACTGGAATCTAATGTAGTTTTAGACATACAACATATAGCATGTGGTGTTAGACATGCTTCGATAGTCACTAGGCAAGGTGAAATTTTTACGTGGGGTGAAGAATCGGGAGGACGCCTTGGTCACGGCGTTGGGAAGAATGTGGTTCAACCTCGTCTAGTTGAAGCGTTGACTTCTGTAACAGTTGACTTTGTTGCTTGCGGGGAGTTCCATTCCTGCGCTGTTACTATGACTGGGGAACTATATACATGGGGTGATGGTACTCATAATGCAGGGTTGCTTGGTCATGGCTCTAATGTTAGTCAGTGGATGCCAAAGAGAGTCGAGGGTCCATTAGAGGGCCTTCAAGTTTCATCTGTTGCTTGTGGTCCATGGCACACAGCCTTGATTACTTCAACCGGGAAGCTCTTTACATTTGGTGATGGAACTTTCGGTGTCTTGGGACATGGAGATAGGGAAAATGTTTCATATCCTAGAGAAGTGGAATCGTTGTTGGGGTTGAGGACGATAGCTGTTGCATGTGGAGTATGGCATACTGCAGCTGTTGTAGAGGTTATCGCAACACAATCTATTGCTAGTTTATCGTCAGGTAAATTGTTTACTTGGGGTGATGGAGACAAAAATCGCCTTGGGCATGGGGACAAGGAGGCACGACTTACACCAACTTGTGTGCCTGCTATTATCGATTACGATTTTCAAAGAATTGCTTGTGGGCACAGTTTGACAGTAGGACTGACAACATCTGGACGAGTTTTTACCATGGGAAGTACTGTTTACGGTCAGCTTGGGAATCCTCAGTCTGATGGAAAGCATCCATGCTTGGTTGGAGATAAGATTGCGTCCGAATCCGTTGAAGAAATTGCTTGTGGTGCATATCATGTGGCTGTTTTAACATCCAAAAATGAAGTTTATACTTGGGGTAAAGGTTCAAATGGGAGATTAGGTCATGGAGATATTGAAGATAGAAAAACACCAACTTTGGTTGAAGCATTGAAGGATAGACATGTGAAATATATTGCATGTGGTTCAAATTACTCTGCCGCCATATGCCTTCATAAATGGGTATCTGGTGCCGAGCAGTCTCAGTGCTCAGCTTGTAGACAAGCATTTGGCTTCACACGAAAGCGGCACAATTGTTATAATTGTGGACTTGTGCACTGTCATTCATGTAGTTCAAAGAAAGCATTAAGAGCGGCACTGGCTCCTAACCCTGACAAGCCCTACCGTGTGTGTGATTCTTGTTATGCCAAATTGAGCAAGGTTGCAGAAGCTAACAATCATAATAGGAGGAACTCTTTGCCGCGTCTCTCAGGTGAAAACAAGGATAGGTTAGACAAGTCTGAGCTAAGATTGTCTAAGGCTGTTGTTCCTTCAAATATGGAGTTGATAAAGCAGCTAGATAATAAGGCTGCCAAACAAGGAAAGAAAGCTGATACATTCTCCCTAGTTCGCAATTCACAAACCCCTTTGCTACAGCTGAGAGATGTTGTCTTCTCCACTGCTGCTGATCTGAGACGAACCGCACCAAAGCCGGTGATTGCAGCATCGAGAGTAAGTTCTAGATCCACATCCCCTTTCTCTAGAAGATCAAGCCCTCCTCGTTCAGCTACGCCTATTCCAACAATGTCGGGACTTTCGTTCTCCAAAAATACTGCTGATAGTTTGAAGAAAACAAATGAACTTTTAAATCAAGAAGTGCAGAAGTTACGTTCTCAGGTACATTTTTGTTTTGCTTTTGGTGCGCATCAAGTAGCAGAAGTTCCCTTAAACACTGAATTATAGTGTTTCTCAATTTGAAAATCATAATTAGTGGCGTTTAAAATCTAGGTAAATTGTGTTCAGTGGATGATGAATGATTTCCAACACTTGTTATATTCGTGAACCATCCACTGAATGTAATTAACCACATATTTAAACTGTGATAACATCTAAATTCTTGTCCAAATTTGATATCAAATTTGTACGTTAAAATATCATTTCTCTTGTATACGTTGAACTTTTTTCTCAAACATTCTATAGTATCAAGAAAATTCTAATTATAGATAACATTAGGTTGAGATCCTGAAACAAAGATGTAAACTGCAAGAATTAGAGCTTCAAAGGTCAGCAAAAAAGACTCAAGAAGCTATGGCACTTGCTACTGAGGAGTCTACTAGAAGAAAAGCTGCAAAAGAAGTTATGAAGTCACTTACGTCACAGGTTTGTTTTCTGTTTAATTTTCACCATTTTCATTGGCATAAAAGGAACACGCTGATGAAACCATTGTATAAAATATGGAATTTACATTTATATCTTTTATATTGGTAACAAGATATTTAGAACTGAGTTTTTGAAGAATAGTTATCATTCATCATCTTGTTGCATGGAACTTTAAGACTCTGATTTGCATTCTAGTATTTTAAAGTTCGGCCAGGAAGTTAGGAAGTTATGACCGAAAAATGTTTCGGTCAAAGATCAATTTCGGATGCTGCCGGTCGATTATTGCTTAACTAAAGCTCGTTAACAACGATTTGATGTTGTCTTTTTCAGAGTAATTTACCATGCATTTTCCTTCTTTTTCTTTCATGTACTGAATAGTATGGTTTTTCCACACATTTAACTTTGTTGTTTCAGATCAAAGATCTAGCTGAGAAGCTTCCTCCTGAAGTTTATGATGCTAAGAACATTAGACAAGCTTACCTACCGAATGGTCTCGAGTCAAACAGAAATCACTATCCAGATTCAAACGGGGAGCGGCATGCGTATGCAGAATCAATCATCAGTCACTCTAGTCTAGCCTCCATAAAACTCGAGTCCTCTCTGTTCAGAACTGCAGGTGATTTTCCAGAAGCCAACGGAACTAACCTCCACCACCAAATCCGGGGTATTGTTACCTCTAACGGGACTGGTAATTATCCAGATGTTAAATTGCCGAATGGCAGCGGCATGATTCCGTCGAGCAGTAGTAGCTTGTCAGATATTGTTGAAGGTAGGGATTCTGGGAATTTCCGTGATGATGAGAGTGGTTCGAAATCGACAAATGCTACACTTGCTACTAATAGTAATAATCAAGTTGATGCAGAATGGATTGAACAGTATGAACCTGGTGTGTATATAACACTGGTGGCCATGCACGATGGAACGAGAGATCTGAAACGAGTGCGCTTTAGGTAAGAAAAATCCTCCACGCGACTAAGTTACATTTTACTTCGGATTGTCGTGACAGTTGAACTTTATATATAACGTGTTTGATGGTAAATGTAACTACAGCCGGAGGAGATTTGGAGAGAACCAAGCAGAAAATTGGTGGTCAGAGAACCGAGACATGGTATACGAAAAATACAATGTTCATACCACGGACAAGTCTTCTAACCAAGCAGCGCATAAGTCAGACGTTGCTGGTTCTCCTATCTCCCAAACATAGGTAAAGTAGAGGGAGGAAAATTCTCCATTAACCCCTTTCGTCGCAACAATGAATTTGTAAGAAAGCACAAATGATGATGATGAAACCTCGAATCCTTCCTTTTTTTACGAGGTTATGTCCAAAGTTGTCAACTCGGGAGTTCGCCCAAACTCGTGGTAGATTCGACTCAGACTCCAACAATTTTACCAGTTGGCGCAAAGAGTTTAACAATCATCCTTGTGTCTATTCCTTATTCTCTTCTCAATCTTTATACCTTTTCCCTCTTTTTTTTAATCTCAAATTAATTGTTTTTTTATTTATTTTTGGCAGATGTTCTTTATATATCTATTGTAGTGTAGTGTATATAAAATAAATAATCAAGTTGGCATAACTTTGGTGCAGGAATCACACCTATTTATTTTCTATCTTTGTTCTATTTGGTTTCTAGGACACTTCTTCATTACCTTGTGAATATTCCATTCATTCAAATGTATGAATGGTGATAATTGTTACATCATTCATTCATTTTTTTCTATCTTTATATTATTTCTATAGAGGTAGTAATATTGTACTCGCTGCCTAATTGACTTAGTTTTGGGAGATGAGTGTGTAACTACAATGTTCACGTTTGAAGTATTTGGATCTGACTCCTGGTTTGATCAAATTCCGACGGTTCAAATTCACTATTTTTTATGGACCATTCGATTTAATCAAGATCGGACGCCCACTGATGTCATATATACGTGTAAATGGAATGCTCTAACAACAGGGAATTAACATTCAAACTGTTTATAGTAGCAATTTCATTAATAAATATATAATGTTTTCTCAATAAAATCAATTTTAAAGAAATGCATAGAAAATAATGGCAATCAGACAAGTTATGTTGTTATCTTTTTTGAATGACAAATACTTTCTTAAAAGTTATGTTCATCGTCTTAGGAGATAGAATATTGATATACTCGACTTTTAGACTATGTAAAAATCCATTAACTTTGTAATGCTATAGTGAATTATGTAGATTCATTAATCCCGCTGTACCCCGAGTCTCTTGCTCTCAATCTGTACTTTTTTTTTTGTCTTAGCCTGCAAGGTCAAGTTTGACAGGTGTGCTTGGTCAAAAACATGATTAAAGTAAATAGATAAATTATTTTTCCACCCCTTATCTTGTTAGAGGTTTTGAATTTCTAAAAATACTTTTTGGATTTTAGAATCTAAAAAATGTTTTCAAGTGTTAAAGAATATGAACACACCATATAATATATGAATCAGGGTTTTTTTGACATTTCTCACGACTACACCTTTAGTAAATGTAATTTATCCATGACATTGAAATTTGCCGATCCAAGAAGAAGAAGTGAAGAGGAAGAAAAATGTTCGTCGATTATATAGATTTTTCTAAAATTTGAACATTTAAAAAATACGCTTGACTTCTAAAATTTAAAGGATAACTTTAAAAATTTGAGAGTCCCGTGAATCAAAAATATTCAAAATCATATATACTATAACATGTCAACTTGAATATATAATAACGTTGAACATAAAATGTTAGATCTTGTGTTCGAGGTTTGCTGCAAAACATGAACAAAAAGAAGATGAAAACGGTACGATGAAAGTTGTATAAAATAAATTTCAAAGCGTGTGTTTACACTAAGTTTTAGGTTCGATTCGTTCCCACCACTTTAAACAAATTGGATGCAAATGAATTAACCGGCGAATCCCCTTCAGAATACTTTGGAAATCTTAACATGAATTGCATATTCACATTAAACATATCAATCAACGATATTTTACCGAGTAAAGTTTCCTCATTTATTCTCGTGCACTAGAAAAATAAAGAAATGACTTAGATATGATTTTTGACTCTTGAAAAATATTATTTTCATATATCCATTGAGTTTAATATCTCTATCTATAAAGAAATTTGTATCATTTGGTGGAAGAAGACATCTTTTGAATTACTGGTCGCATACAATTGTATATACATTTTCATTCAGAATTTAAACCAAATAACACATTGGTTTAGAGGTGCAAATCTTTTCTTGGATCGCGGATCGTCCTGAGATCCTATCCTCTCCTGTCATCTTGCGCGGGTCGCGAATTGTCCTGATATCCTACCCTCTTGATGTCTTTTCTTAGATCACGGATCGTCCTGAGATCCTACCCTCTCCTGTCATCATGCGCGGGTCGCAAATTGTCCTAATATCGTACCCTCTTCATGTCTTTTCTTGGGTTGCGGATCGTCCCGAGATCCTATCCTCTCTTGTCATCTTACACGAGTCGTGGATTATTCTGATATCCTACCCTCTTGATGTCTTTTCTTTGATCGCATATTGTCCTGAGATCCTACTCTCTCTTATCATCTTGTGCGGGTCGCAGATTGTTCTGATATCCTACCCTCTTGATGTTTTTTCTTGGGTCGTGGATCATCTTGAGATCCTATCCTCTCTTGTCATCTTGCGCGAGTCGCAAATTATCTCGATATCCTACCCTCTTGATGTCTTTTCTTGGGTCGCGGACCGTCCCGAGATCCTACCCTCTCCTATCATCTTGCACAGGTCGTCGATTGTTCTGATATTCTACCCTATCACTGTCTTTTCTTGGGTCGTAAATCATCCTGAGATCCTACCCTCTCCTGTCATCTTGCACGGGTCGCGGATTGTCTGGATATCCAACCCTCTTGATGTCTTTTCTTGAGTCGTGGATCGTCTTGAGATCCTACCCTTTCCCGTCATCTTGCACATGTCACAGATTATCCTGATATCCTATCCTCTTGATGTCTTTTCTTGGATCACGGATCATCCGGAGATCCTACCCTCTCTTGTCATCTTGCGCGGGTCACGGACTGTCCGGGTATCCTACCCTCTTGATATCTTTTCCTTGGTCGCGAATCGTCCTGAGATTCTACCCTCCAGTCACCTTTTCTTGAACTGCGGATCGTCATGAGATCCTACCACTCTTTCAACTACTATTTTGCTATAACAACCGTTCCCCCAGTCACCTTTTCTTGAATTGCAGATTGTCATGAGATCCTACCACTCTTTCAACTACTATTTTGATATAACAACCGTTCCTCCTTGAAAACCTCGTATTGGCACCGTTGCCACGTTACGAACAATCATCGCCCCAAACGTACCTGGTTCAATAGGGAATGAGTGCAAATATTTTTCATTTACTGTTCATAAAATAAATAAAATGTCTACACCAGGACTTAAACCCATGACATGAATAATGCAACAATCCATTTCAACCACTATGCCATCAATTTCCTTCAAGCTAATGTTTTCAATATAAATTTAGGATATTTTAGAAATTCTCCAACAATCCCCCACTATTTTCAAAATGTATATAAATTCATTATTCAGGAAATTTCATGGTTTCAGATAAGGTATCTTATGATTTGAACCATTACTTAGTAAGTTAAGTTTTTACTCATTCCCAAATAGATCGATAGACAGACTTTGAACCAATTATTCATTAGAATATGCATGCATAACTCACACATGAAATCTTTGTATCATTGATCGAATTATCAATATGACACATTTAGTAAGGCCTTGTGTGTCATATTCTTTTTATGAGAATTTAAGAGTCAAGCCCTTAAACTCAATGAAGCGGAACCACTTCATTCTCATATAGGTAGACTATATCAGAAATGCATCCATAATTATAAATTCCAACAAACATATGCTATATGTCTATTAAGAGTAAACCTCATCCTACCATATTTATTCTTATGGTCCAAGTACTTTTACCCCTTGAGATGTATCTATTATCAAGTACTTCAATCACTCTAATAATGCACTTTCATCATTGAACTCAAGACTTAATGTTAATCAAGTGTGAATTGAGTTTTTATTATTGATGATTAATTAGATATGGGCTTGCTCCGCATCCCTAATGATGCCTTCCTTCTATTCAATTATATCCAAAGACATCATATCCTTGTCAATCTTTTCGTCAAAGAATCACATGATTTTTTTTCAAACTTTAATAAACTTTGAATATTCAATCTTTCAAATAGTTATGTCTATGATTGCTCTTGATAGTCTTTACCAACTATCATCAAACCATGACACTTTTTTCATATTACTATATTTATCATATGGAAAATATATTATATAATCTTGATAGTTTCGACAAACTATCACCTGACACTTTTGTCATTCATTTTATCATATACATAAATTGTATGTCATTCTTCATTTTCTAACCTTTTAATTTGAAATTTTACTTCCACTTAAATATATCTAAAATATATTTAATGTATTTAACATTTATAGCAATCGAAAACCATGACCATACAAATTTGTCAAGACTAACTTTTATTTCATGAAGTGGGTTCAAACATGTAATTAATAAACTCCATATAAATACAACATCATAGAATATATTTTAATTATTTCAAAATAAACAATTTTCTTGCATAACTAACAAATGCATAACAAATTTTATCTAGTGAATTCATGTTTCATATTTAGCAATGCTCTATGGCATATTCAAATAAAAACCACAATACAAAATAAATAGTAAATTCAAATCATTAATATTTTCTATAGTTTTTCTCCATAAATATTTGTCACTTCACAATAATCTAAAACATACCACAATTACTTTTGATATCAAGATGAGCAAGAAATAATATTTTCACATTATGATACATATATAATATGAGATAAATTATTTTAAATATAATAAATTCTTGCATATATAAAATATACAATTGAAATATATCATAGATATTTTTTAACATTTTATTTACACCATTTTATGTTACCAATACATCCATCATATATTCATATTCACTAATGTTGAAATATTAAATTAGATTAGATTAGATTTGATTAGATTAGATTTGATTAGATTTAATATTTAATATAATCTAAGTTGTGTTAGCCCAAGCCCAATTAGGATTGTATATAAATAGTCATAATGTGTATCATTATTTGTACACTTGAATAATATAAATCCTTATTTCCTTTATTATTCTCTCTTTCTCTCCTCACTAAAAGTGCCTCACG